CGTCACATTTACCTGATTAGTCATCAGGAGTGACGAGTCAAGGAGTACTCCCAGACTGCGAACACAGTCCTTACGGAGAGTGTGAACCTGTCCCCGACTGGAGGTTACAACCCAATTCCTGGTTTCGGGGCTGCTACTGTGAGCACCTCCGTTTTGTCTGGATTCACTCTCAATTTGTTTTTCCTCATCCAGCCCATTACTGTCTTAAGACATTCATTGAGAGGAGAGACACCATTGGGAGTCGAGGCCGATGATCGAGACATGGAAAAATAGATCTGGGTGTCATCAGCGTATTGAAAACAACCAGCCCCATGACTCCATATAATCTCACCTAGTGGCTTCATATAGATGTTAAATAGCATCGGGGACAGGATGGCACCTTGAGGGATGCCACACGCAAGCTCCCTTTTAGCGGAGCAACTGTCCCAGAGCAGCAGCACCCTCTGGGATCTGCCCGAGAGGAAGGAACGGAGCCACCGCAATGCAGTGCCTCCACTTCCTAACCCACTCAGGCGATCCAAGAGGATGCTATGATCTATCATATCAAAAGCCGCTGAGAGGTCTAAGAGCACCAACAGGGTCACGCTACCCCTGTCGATGCTCAGATGCAGATCGTCAGTCAAGGCAACCATGGCAGTCTCAACTCCAAATCCTGTCCTAAAGCCAGTTTGAAATGGGTCTAGATAATCGGTTTCATCCAAGACAGCTTGGAGCTGAAGAGCAACCGCCCTCTCAATGACCTTGCTCAAGAATGGTAACAACGAAACTGGTCTATAATTATTCATATTCAGGGAGTCCAGGGAAGGTTTTTCAGAAGCGGCCTAACCATCACTTCCTTTAAACAAGGTAGAATAGAGCCTTCCCTGAGGGATGCACTGATGATGTCCATAAGGAACATCCTCAATGCATCCCCTCCCTGGATGGCCAGCCATGATGGGCAAGGATCGAGAGGGCAGGTTGTTTTCCTCACTCTGCTAAGGAGCTTATCCACATCATCGGTACTCACAGATTGAAACTGATCCAGAATAATATCATCAATGCAGTTGCTGGACACCTCGTCAGTTGTTTCTGTCAAAACACTGGCATCTAAGTCGGCTTGTATCTGAGAGATTTTATCTGCAAAAAACACGTCACAGCAGGCCATTGTCAGATTAAGTAAAGGGTTCTGCACAGGAGGTACCTGCATCAGCTCCCTTACCACCCTAAACAGCTCTGCTGGATGGAACTCTGCAGATGCAATATGTGCAGAGGAGAAAGATCTCTGTGCTGCACGTATTGCCTCTTGATAGGAACAAAGAAAGTTCCTATGACAAGTCTTGTCAGATAAGTCGAGTTTTCCGCCAGGTGTACTCTAGTCGTTGTCCAACCCGTTTCATTCTCCAAGACAGCTTGGAGCTGAAAAATACAAACTGGTGACAAGAATGGCATCAGACCTTTATTGTTTATATGTTAGCACTGGAACACAGTACCACTCTTTCATTGAATCACTATTGCACAAATATATTAATATCTGAAATAAAATAATCAGATCAGTATTTTAGAATAGATTTAAAACTTTATTTTTAAAAACAAGCAGGATGATATTGGGACTATATTCAAGGAGTGCTAAGCTGCCAATGATATGAAAACCACATCTTAGAAAGATGGAAGAGTAGCGCTACATACTATACCTGCTGAGATTGCACTGCTGTTCCACCACACACCCATCCAATGAATCAGTCTGTATGTATGCAGCCTGAGATGGGTGGCATTTTGGAAAAACACAGGTCCAAATCCCAACTCAGCCATGGAAACCCACTAGGTGATCTTGGGCAAATCATACTCTCTTAGCCTCAGAGGAAGACAAATGCAAAATCTCTTTTGAACAAATCTTGCAAAGAAAACCTCATAATCGTCACCATAGGTCAGAATGACTTGAAGGCACAAAGCAACTACAAAACATACATATTCCTTTGCTTCCAATTCTTTAACATATGGTCCTACTAAATGAGTTGAAATGGGGAAGATTTGGAGCTTCTAGACCAATGATTCCCAAACTTTGGTTCTCCAGATTTTTGGACTTTGGCTCCCATAAGTCCTGGCTAGCTTAGCCAGCAGTCAGGAATCCTGGGAGGTGAAGTCCAAAACATCTGGAGGACTAAAATTTGGGAATTATTGTTTTAGAGTAAAGCTTGGAAGCATTCATTGTGTTGTTGTTGTTTTGTTGTTGTTTGCCTTCAAGTCATTTCTGACTTATGGTGACTCTAAGGTGACCCTAGTGCAGGGTTTTCTTGGCAAGATTTGTTCAGATGTTTATCATTGCCTTCTCCTGAGGCTGAGAGTGTGTCACTTGCCCAAGGTCACCCAGTGAGTTTCCATGGCTGAGCAGGGAATCAAACCCTGGTCTTTAAAGTTGTAGTCCAACATTCAGCCCACTACACTACACTGGCTAATTGTTACCTATAAATAGTTTTTGTAACACATTGTTACTTATTGTTATCTATGAGTAGTTTTTGTGTTTTTTGTAGTACATATGCATGAGTGGGGTCCTACCTTCTCAAGCAAAGTTGCCAAAATGAGGTGCATGACATCCCACCTAAAAGGCAAAGAGGCAGACTGGCTCAATGCCAGAGCTGTGGAATTGAAGAGTTTGCCTGAGTTCATGGTCACTCTATGGGCCCAGTTCAAGCATCCCTTCTGGGTGGAGAAGGCCTGAACCAAGTTGATGGTGCTCATGCAGGGAGCCCACTCTATGACAGAATATGGGACAGAGTTCCAGAGATTGGCATTGCAAGTCCTGGACTGGCCCAAGGTGATCAAAGTACAGCATTTCAAGGCAGGCGTGTGACTGGACCTGCTGAAGTGGGTTCAGAGAACAGATGACCCTTAGACCATGAGGAGTGGATCCAACTGACAGAGGAAGCTGAAGTGGCAAAAGAGGAGATCTGCTTAATGTCACAATGGAAACTGGGAGGGAATAAGGGGGCCAACTCAAACCCAAGCCTCTCCCAGGGAAAAGAAAGGGGAACTAACCCCCTAAGCAGACGGGAAGCCGTGGGCCGCCCTGGGAAGGTGTGTCGCGGGACCGAGGCATCCCCA